TCCCGGGGGGGGGGGGGGAGGCCAGGGGCTGCTGCCTCAAGAACTCTTGGTGAATTCAACAGAGCCAGAGCACATCAGGCCAAGGCTTAATCTGGAACCTGTTTTCTGTGCTAGGTGCATCTCTCCAGGAAACAGAATGCCTTGTATGTGCAGAGTGCCTTTCCTTCGCTGCTGCTGCTGCTGAGCGCTACAGCCTGGTGCCCCAGACATTTTGGTCTATTTCTCGGTAGTGACTGGGGCTGATGGGAGTTGTCATCCAAAACATCTGGAAGGCACCAGGTTGAGGAAGGCTGCAGTAAAACAAGAACATCATCTTAAGTCCCATTGCTGAAGTCACACACAAATCTGAGATTTTTTTAAAAGTCTAGAACTAACAAGAGTAGCATTGCAAACAGCATAAAAAATCAGCTGCCAACCTCTTCTCACCTGCCAAGACTGGGCTGAGCACCCCAAGGTCATATCATTGCCCACCTGGAGTCTGGCACCCAGCTCCCCACACCACCCCCCAGCCTAGCATACACTATTACTGGTGCCAGAGAGGATGTGCTGGTAGATGTGGGGGGCATCCTGTGGTCCTTGTTAAATGCATTCAAGCCACCTGGCAAACAGCCTCACCTTGGTCACCCGCGAAACTTCCCAGGCTAGAGCTGGGCTGCAATTTGTCAGGAGACCCATTTTAGTTAAATGCTCTGAGAATTTTCTTTGGCAAGCCTCTGCCTCTCCTCCCTGCCTGAAGGAAAAGCGTCATTTAGTCTAATATTCACCAGGATATTTCCCACCTTATTTGTGCATGCAGGCCTGGTGGTTGGGATTTTGCATCTCCCACGATGCCCTGGTCCTGGGCATCGTGGGGGATGCAAAATGGCTTCTGGATTCGCAAAACAAAAGTTGTGCTGTTGCCGCTGCTACTTGCCAGCCCCTCCCAAGAAATGATTAGGAGAAATTCACCACCACAATAACTCTGAGAACAAGCTGCAAAATCCCTCTGCCAGAAAATAGGGTGGAGAATATATGCATCTTCTGTCCAAGGAGCTCAAGGTGTAATACATTAGAAACTGAGAGCCGGTCATTGGCCAAAGGTCACCCAGTAAGCTTCATGGCTGAGTGGGGAGTTGAATCTACTCAGTCTTAGTCCAATCACTCTAAGCACCATGCAACACATTTCCCTCCCAGGCCCCAGGTAGGAGGTCTTCCCACCTTGGCACCTTGGCATTTTTGACAGAGCCCTCAACTTCTCTACCCACAAAAAGCCGCGCACACACCACAACATTTACTTAGCATTCTGTGGGCAGAGAACATGCTCAGTCCTCACTGGAGAGATTTGGGTTCCCTTGAGACTTGTGATACACAAACGCACACATGTGCACACACAAGGAACAGTGCGACAGCCTGAACATTGGAAATGGAAGGAATTTTTTGCTGCTTTTGGTTAGATTCTGTGAATATGAGGTGGGAATAGTTACCTATCTTCCCTTATCCACATTTGAAATATACATCTTGCACCTTTAGTATAGGTGGTCTTTTCCCAGGCTGGCTAACACAATGGTAAGAAGAAAAAGCACAATATAAAATTATAATAGTACTTTTAAAAGCATACAAACTAATACAGCACATCAAATCAAAGCAGCCAATTGAAAGATGTAATGGCTAGTTTAAAGAGGCGGTAAAGTCAAACTCATACTGTATTAGCAGTTCTTTAAAAAGACTGGGAAAGTAGAAATGCCTTGGCCTGGTGCCTAAATGTTAAAGTAAGGAAGGCTCCAGGCGGGCCTTCTAAGGGGAAGGCATTCCAGAATGCAAGGAGCCACCACAGGAAAGGCTTTCTTCTCTGCTGCACTTCAGAAGGGAGGAAGAGGCCAGAGAAAGTTTGCAGGTGGTACTGATGTTGCTCAGAGTCCAGAGCCCCCCAACCCACTGAGTCTTCTTATCTTGGGGTCAGCCTTTCTCTGTTCATTCCCCCACCTCTGAAGCTCCTACTTGAGCTGCCTGCTCAGTTTTCCAAACTGGTCAGAGGCGGGAAAGGGGTGAGATGAGCTCTGTTCTGTTACTACTCATGGGCAGAGGTTCTGCATTTCTCACACCCAATTTGGCAACCAGACGTTCAACAGGAACACACCCCCAGTTGCGATGTTCCCCCATGCTAGCCAACACTTTAACTTTTGAATGTCTTCCTGCTGAAGCACAGAGCACCTGTCAAGAGAAAGGCGCTACATGCTCCTCTCTGGGGGGCCAGGGGTGTTGTGCTCCATGTGCACCTCCCCAGAGGAGGCTGCATTTCAGTTTTAGGGACCCTGCCTGAGCCCCAGAAGAGGTCTCGTTGCAAACATGGACTGGGATAAATCAAGAGGTAATGGGTGTGGAGGACACTCTCTCCAAATCCCAGGAAGCAAGGTTGGGTTTTTTCCCTTACTATCTCAGGAGTCCCTTGGGTGCGTGTTTCTGTTCCCCCTCCCCGCTGAGCCCTCCTTCCCCCCACCCACCACCTCTGCGCCCTGCAGTTGATGAAACCACTTGCATATTGGGGCTGACAGCCCAATCCATTTTAATGAGGCAAGGGGCTGGCTAACGAGGTCCAAGGAGTCTCTAACAAGGCTCTATTAAGCCAGTCCCCTGAAGCGTGCCAGAGAGGAAGGGGACAAGGGTCATTCTCCTCTCCCCCCACCACCACAAACACTATTGCCCTGTATTTAAAGAAGTTGCTGTGATGGGTTCAGGGCCCTGTGGCTGGATAGTGAGTGTCCAGAATACTTTTTCCTGGTTACAACACCAGGGGGTCATCTGAAGTGCCTCTGAGCACGTGCAGGGTGACAGTGCTGTACTGATGAGCCAGAGAGCCAGGAAGCTGCCCTGACCCTGCCCATCTCTGGCATACACACACCCCCCTGGTCAAAGGCCTTGTCCCAGTTTCAGGACATCATTCTATCCACGAAAAAGGCAATTGAGGAGCGCTTGGGGGGGGAGGCCCAGAGGGCCACATCTGCCCCCCAGAACTGAACCAGGACGCAAATACAGGAGTGATTGCTGTATTTGAAACAGAAAGATGAATATATCTCATCACAATGGGGCAGACAACGGCCAGGTGAGCTGTGTGCCTGCCCAGCCCACTGTACAGGTGGTGCTCACCATTGATAGGCATTCAAGCTCCCCTCCCCCCAAAAAAAATTTCATAAGACTTGGGCCGAGCGAGGACTGCCCTTCCTAAAGCAGGGCACCTGGGCACCCCGATATCAGAAGAGCAATTTATTTCCACACCTGGCACCGGAGTCCAGCAGCACATCCCCCTCCCCACACCGCTTCTTCCCTCTTCCTGCTTTCGCCCGTTTGCTAAGCTCCTGGCTGTCGCAACATGAAGGCCAGTCTTATTATAAATCAGAAAGGAGGCCATAAATAGCCAGTGCTGGTAGATTTACACAGCGAGCTGAGAAATACGGCCCAACGCGGCAAGGAACCCTGTTCACAAGTTAAGGCAGACTATTCGCAGACTGCCTGCTTGCAGCAGAAGTCTCTCCTCTTCCTCCTCCTTTCTTGGCTGACTGTGAATCAGCCTTCCCTTCTCCAACGGCACCCCAGAGGTGGCTCATGTCTCCAACCAGGGCTTCTCCCACTAGGCTTCAGATTGTGAAAGCAGAATTTAACTGGAGGCAGCGCAGCCCAGTGTCTGTTTTCTGGCCTAGAACAGGACAAGGGTGTGTCTCTGGCCATGTGCAGAATGCATTCTTCCCCTCCCTCCCCCCAAACATGCCAATGGCTGCAGCCGGCCCTGGCCAGCCTCTCTGAGATTAACAGACTCACAGGCAGCCCTGCTCTGTCTCTGTCTCTCCTTCCTCTCCCCTCCCCGCAGTCTAGATGCCTCATTTGCTTCAAAAAACATCCCCGTCTCCTCCAGTCCCTGAACTACTTCCCCAGCCCCTTGTGCCTGGCCCTCTGTAAAAGCCCAGCTAAAAAGCTGGACTCTGTCCGAGCAAAGTTGGGCAAGTTTGTTCTAAATAGGAACATGGCTGTGAGTTGGAGGAGGCTCTTGTTACTTGACCTGAGCGCAGCACCCAGCTTTGGCCAATCCTCAGGGGGCAGCAGTGACTGTGGTTTCCCTACACTCTCTCACACAGGCATGCCCACCCTAATCATCAAATGATTGACATGATGGCCTTGGGGGAAGGCAGCGCAATTTGCACCACCACCACCCCGTAGGACCCTGGGTTTGGGGGAGGGGGCTTCGACCTCTCTATCACCCCCCTATGATCTCAGTGTTGCTCTAGGTTTTTGGTTTTGGAGGGGGCATGTGAGGAGAAAAATTGGCTTGGAGGATCAGACCATCAGCCCTCCAGGCTGGGAGTTGACCTTGTGGTAAATATTAAAGTGCATGGTATTAGTTTTGCCACGTATTACATCTCTAGTCCACTTTTCCTCCTAGAAGCTCAAGGCAGCATACAGGGCTCTCGTTTCCCCTCTTACATATTCACAACGACCCTGTAAGTTAGGGTAGGCAGAAAGACAAGGAGTGGCTTAGTAGGGACTTGAGCCGTTTCATCCTCTCCATGGTCCTGCGAGGTAGGTAAGATGCAGAGAGAAAGTGTATGTGAGAAAGACTGGCCCAAGACCTCCCAGCACCCTTTGTGGTTGGCGATTTCAGGATGAGCTTCCCCACTTGCCAGGATGGCCAAGTGCCCTGCTTTACAGAGGGCAGCCCTCTGTTTGAAGGACTGTCCAGTCCAAGTCTGGTTGAAAGACAACCCTGAAGGGGGGGGGGCTTGAAATTGCCTGTGAGCACCAGGGTAGCAGCAGAGAGGGGGCACCAAAGCCTCTCCTCCCGCACCTCTGTTGTGCAAGCTAAATATTTCTGCTGATGATGCATCTCCCTTCTTTGGGGACGATGTGCAAATGGCTACCTTAGTGCAAATGTGACTTCCTTTCTCACTCTCAGCCCACTCCCAGTCATAGAATCGTAGAGTTGGAAGGGACCCTGAGGTTCATTTAGCCCAGATCCCTTCAACACAGGAGTATGCAGCAGTCCCATGTGAGGATTGAACCTGCAACCTTGGCGTTATCAGCACCACGCTCTAACCAACTGAGCTATCCAATTTGGAGGAGGAGGAGGATTCAACACTTGGCTGAGGCGTATGAGAGAATATGTTCTCCAAAGCCCTGATTAAAAAGGTTGATGGGAAGTGGAAGAACGTGTGTGTGCGTGTTTGGTCTTGTGAGGTTGTGTGTCCAGGCCAATTAGGACATGGGGGGTGGCTGCTTCCTCCCATTAGTCAGATTGTTAATGGTCTTCTGATTAGAGAGGCCAGGCAGGGTTCTGGCCCCTCAGTAAAAGGGGGCACCCGAAGCGCACAACTTCAGCATCGGTGATGCGCCTGCCTTGTGCTTCAGAGCCATTAGCTGGGGCCGGAGCAGGAGCAGGTCCCTGCAGGGCGTCCGAGTGGGTAGAGACTGTTGTGAGCAGGGCGGCTGCAGCATGCAGGGGGCGGCTCCCATCTCTAGGGTGCATGATGGTCTCCCTCCTTTCCAAAGAGGTCTGTGTGTGTGTGTGTGTGTGTGTGTGTGTGTGTGAGAGAGAGAGAGAGAGAGAGAGAGAGAGAGAGAGAGACTGAGCCCCCCACCCTTTCTACCTAAACATGCACTGCACATCCCCTCCTCTTTGTTTACCGTCAACCTTTCCAGCCTGCCCTTGGCATTTGAAAATGGGGCTCATTTCTCTGGCTCCTTTCTCATGAATCTATGGTGCTCTTGTGTGAAAAGCAAAGGGTGGCTTTTGCAGGAACCCTTTCCCTTTTGAACAGAAACATTGCACTGGAGACCTCCAGCGTCCTTGTCAGTCTGGAGGAATGACAAGTGTGTGTGTGTGTGTGTGTGTGTGTGTGTGTGTAGCAGCCAGCCTAGCAGGGCTGGGCCAAAGGCAGGATCAAAGGCAAGCAACCTCAGGGTTCTTTGGGGTGCTCCCCCCCCTCCAGAACGTGCCTCTCAGCCCACTAGGCTCACCTTCCCCGCCCCGCCCCCGTGCAGCGCTGGGTGTGACTCACTTCAGGGGAAACCTTCTGACACCCCTTCAGCCTGAATAATCAAGGCAGGTTGGAAGGCTCTCTGCATAGCAATCACAGCCCACTTAATGAACCAGGCTTTTCTCTGATTCAGGGAGAGGTGGGTGCCAACGCAACCTGCACGAACAATGTGTTTGTGGTTTGTTTCTAAAGGGAGGAAGCCCCATAGATGAACCCTTTTATCTCATACAGGCACTCGGTACATGCTCAGAGGAACTCTCCTTTGTCAGGTTACAGGGTTGAGCCTCAGTATTACCAGATTGCACGACTGAGTTTTAATTTTATGGGGTGGGAATATAATTCAAGGGTGGGGAACCTGCTGGTGTCCAGCAACTACACTGAGGCGCTGAAGCCCCCTCAGTCTGGCTCTCAGGACTCCTCCAAACCGGACACCCTGCTATGCCCCATCCTCCAGTGCTTTTGCCTGCCCGACTGGTGTCCTTGAACTGTGATAATGCAGCTTGCTTCCCGGTTGGAGGAAGGACAGAGAGGGTGTGTGTGTGTGTGTGAAGAAACTTGATTTTTGCGTGGCTGGAATGGACAAAGCAGAGAGTCTCTTGCTCCACCCACTTTTACCTCTGGTTCCACTTTACCATGTGCCCCCCAGAAGGTTGCCTATGAGAGAGTGTGGCCCTCAGATTGAAAAAGGTGTGGCTTGCAAGATGGAAAGTTCTCTAGATTTGGGGCACATGGAGCTTGTTCTGCAAAGGGGCTGGGGTTGGGGGGGAGTGTGTGTGTGTGTGTGTGTGTGTGTGTGTGTGTGTGTGCCTCTGCTTATGTGGGTGGGGGGAGGGGGCTGAGACTGTGGGTGGGAATCAGGCAGGACAGAGTAGCTGATTTGCAACCCCTGGTGCTAAAATTAAAGGAGAGATGACATGGCTTTTAAAAGCTGCAAATTAAAGTGTCTTGAGGCTGTTATTAAGGCCTTTGCCTGGCCTGGCAGATTCCAGCAGAAAAGCGGGCAGGGGGTGGGGTCTGAAAGCAAGCAAGGAAGCAGAGAGAATTGGGGGGGGGGTTTAAGGGGAAAAACATTTTGCAGGCAATATTAAAATCTGACATAAAATTAAAATTACGTTGGCATAATGAAATTGTGTACGGGAGCTGGGAGATGGAAAACAAAGCGAAATAGTAAAGGTGTCACCCTTAATTACGCTCACCTTCCTTGCATTCCTCTGTGTGTTGCTTCGAGGATGCAGGTACAAGGGGAAGTCCAGCTCTGCCCTCCCCTTCACCCTCATTGCACAAGCCAGACAAGGACCACCCAGTCGTCCGCAAGGACACATTCTCAAAATAAGCCGTCTTGAAGGCTGGGCGGCCGGGATGAGGACGCTGCCCCCAGTTTGATCGCATGAGTGGAAACACAAAGATCTTGTGGGTGTGGGTGCCATGGCAAAAGAAGCGTGACATTCCTTGAACCCAGCACCCAGTGGTGACAGAGGCTTATGTGGGAAAAGGCAGGGAGCCCAAACAGGTGGTGGTGCCAGAGCCAATGAAAGGCGGAGCCAATTCCTTCTAGCTGCCCCACTTTGAACTCTACAAAGGTGGCATGGAGGAGGAAGGCAGTGCCACCCCCCTGAAGTGGCTCGTAGAATTGTAGAGTCGGAAGAGACCATGTCCAACCTCCTGCAATGCAGGAATCTTTTTGTCCAATGTGGGGCTCGAACCCACAACCCTGAGATTAAGAGTCTCATGCTCTACCAGGCAGGCTGAGGTTAGTGGGACAGTACCCCATCCGCCCAAATGGATCAACGCCTACTGCAGGCGCCATCTAGTCTTTCTGCTGGGGGCATGTGGGAGTCTGCGGAGGTCACGGGGCAAACATTTCAACAGAGCATAAGAGTCCCTGTGTTGGGTCAAGCCACAGATCCATCTACCCCAGCACTCTCTTACTGACAGGCGGTAGTCAAATGGGACCCATCTTGCTTGTGGTTTACGTTACAAGCAAGCCGGCTCAATCCTTGGGCCTGGCTCTCCAGGGTTTCAGATAGGAAACCTCCAGCACTTCTGAGAGATGCTGCTGGGGATTGTGGGTGGAATGAGGGCTTCTGCAAACCAAGCAGCTGCTGTGCCAGCAAGGGACATTCCCTTCTCCTTCTTGGGGAGCCATTCTCTGGGAACTTCCCCAGTGGACTTTTTTTTAACCATTTTGAGTTAGTAGTCCAAACCTGTTTGAAGTCCCCAAGTCAAGTCATGTGCCACATGGAATACTTCTTTATTTCTCCCCTAAACTGACCACCAAACCTGCTTAGCCAATTAACCCCAAGTTCTAGTGTTTGGAGGGGGGGGAAATATGCCGTCCATACTCCAGAAAACCCCTTGTGTCATTCCTCTCCCATTCCATTGTGCTCAGTTACCTTAGGGGTGGTGCTCTTAGGTCATTTTGGACTCTGGACTTAGTGATCTTACGTGGGAAGGGTTTTTTTTAGGCAATGATGACTTTATTGATTCATTTATTTCAAAACGTGCCAAGCCAGCCTTGCTGCCTTTGGGGCCCCCTTCTGCTTGTTCTCTTGAGGGAGTCTTAGGCACCTCCTGCCCCAAACACCTACTGTGACAGTCCCACTGAGTTGCCCTAGTTTTTGGATCTTCTCCTGCTCTGTGATGCCCTCTTTGAGGCAAGATAACAAAACAAAAAAAATCCCAGAAGGCTTTAGTCTGAGGCACACAGTTGCGCTAAGATAGCGTTTACGGCTGTTTTATTGCCACTGTTTTAACCAATATTTCCTCACTGTTGGATCTTCCTGGTGTTTATGTTTGCCGCTTATCCTGTACTTTCTAGGCAATTGTCTGAGCCGTTTTGCCTTTGCCCTGATGTTCTTTCACCCGCAAAACTGGTTGCAAGAGGGAAAATGTAGGCCACAAGCCTTGACATCTGGGAGAATCTAAGGAGGGGGCTTGTCCACACTTCCATTCACCCCACTGCTTTCCCCCAGCAAAACCCACTTTTTAGGACTGAAGAAAACCCGATTACCATTTGTTACGATTCAGCATTAAACCGCGGGTTTTTCTGGGGGAAAGCAGTGGGGCAAACGGAAGTGTGAAGGAGCCCCCTCTGGATGTCAAAGCCTCTGGCCTACATTTTCCCTCCTGCAACAAGTTCTGTGTGTGAAAGAGCTTTGATTCTAGTTCTCAGTTAGTTAGGACAGATAGCAATTTCCATGTACACTTGCAGAAAAAAACGTGACTCATCTTCTTTACATTTTCACTGTGCTCACTTTCTGGATGACACAGCCACTGCTCCTGTTTTACAGGTGGGGAACTGAGGTTTGAAGGTAACACAGCAAGCCCAGATCCAAGCTCAGTACTCGATTCATGGAGCCACACGGTGGGGGGGGGTCCACCCCTTGCCTCCTCTTGCCCCAGCAGAATGCAGGGCTCAAGATGGGCACCGGAGGGGGCTGTGATAACATCTGGCAGGAAGCAGCTGGTATCCGCTGAATGGCTTTGGCTGCTCGCTTTATATGCTGGCCACATGCAGGGAGAAAGGAAGAGGGGAGGGGGTTTGCAGATTTTGTCGTGGGGAGGGGGGAGAGCAGCTTTACCCCCTACCAGCTCCTTCAGACAATGACAGATCCCAGTAGTTATGACTCCTTCTGTATCCCCTTGTGTGTCCCTCCCCCCATCTCCACTGGACCCTTCAGGTGTCCCTCCTCCCTCGACAGCGGCCTGCTCTCAGCTCTGCCTGGCACTCTGCACAGTCTGTGGGTGAGGTGTTGCTCTCACCCTCCTTCTGTGTGGCACAGGAGTGCGGCTGGTGGAGTGAGTCTCCCTGCGGAGGTGCTGGTGTGAAAGTCGCTTTGCAGGTCCCCACTGACAAAATTGCGGGTGCTGCCTTTGGAGGCAGCGACAGTAGGGTGCATACATGGCACCTGGACATGGTTTGCAATCTTGGTGCATCCAAGACCAAAGACATGGTAGGAAGGGACCCCCCAGGGTGGCAGCAGCAGCAGTATCGTTCTCCCCACTTTCAATCCTGCATGAGCGAGCAAGTCCCCAAAACTAACTAACTAGTCCTCATTGGGGGCCAGCCCATGATGCTTGTCTGCCCGAGTGGCACACGGGCCAATGGCCGATTTGCACAATGCGGTTGGGGCGGGGAAGGAAAAAAAAGAGCACCTGCCCATGCACAGAGTGGCATGGCGAGAACCAGCCTCTGTGCAGGTTTCCCTGGAGACAGAATTCTGTCAGCTGGGCAACCCCAGTCTTGGCAGGGCCCCGCAGCCAGCCCCAGACTCTGGGCAAGAGCAGCATGGTGCCCACACTTGGATGCTCACACACACGCCCCATCACCGCTGCCATCCGCCTGCCAGCTCCGTCTCTCTATTATCTTCCCACACCAGGCCAGAGAAATGTCAGGCGCAGGGATGGGACACGGAAGGGGGGGCACTGGGGTTGGAGATTAGGAACCCATTAGGGGATATTAGAATTTCATTAAGCACTGGGTTTTCTTGGCTGATATGGGCGTCTGGGAGGGAGGGGGACACTGGCTTGAGGGCTCCTCACCCTGGTTTGTATTCTAATGAAATGTCACTTCATGTAGCTGCTTCTTCCCCCCCCCCCCAATAAACGGATGCAGCCACGTCCATAGAAAGCTTTCACGAGCCTAATAAACTGGAAAGGTTTGTTTGAGTGGCAAAGGAGTCGGAGGAAGGCAGCTTTGCCATAGCCAGGGAAGGGCACTCCTGGCGTCATCGCCACCCCCTGCCCTCCTGGGTATGTTGGCCCCCACTCCCCTCTCAGAGCTGGGGGGCGGGCAGGGCTTAATCTATGGAATGAAGTTTCTAGGGCACAGGTCATGCCCCATGACTTGGAGAGAAGATAACCCAGATTTGAGAGGCAGTTCCACACCTTAGTGGCAGCAAAGGAAAGACACTCTGCATATGCTCAAGAAAACTCTGGCATCTGTTGATAATTTGCGTGCGCTGGATGTTAAGTCTTGACACTAAAAAACCAAAAGCTTAGGTTCTAAACATGAACAAAGTAAACCCCTTCCTCTTCCCCCGTAGTTATATTTCAGTGGTGAGGGGAAAGAACTTTGCACATGTTCCAGAGCACTGTCAGTACTTCATATCTTGAACACAGCACTGATAGGGAGGCAACCCAGATGCCCTGCCTGCTAGCCGAGGCTCCTCTTCCATCTCTTAGTGGCAGAACAGTGCAGTGGGGTGGGGGGCTGACATCTGACACCCACCTCCTGGCCCTGGTTCCATTGCCAAGGTGGCACCTGTCCTTTCCATTCCCACCACCCCTGTTCCAGAGCTCCCCCCCTGCTGTCTCAGGTAGGGCCCTCTGCCTTCTGGGACTCTCTTGCCTGGGCACTTGAACTTCCCTGCGAGGCTTTTGTCTGTCGCTTCTCTCTTCCTCTCTCTCTTTTCGGTTCTTCCTTCAGAGGATCACAGCAAAAGTGAGATGGTGAGAGAGAGTCTCTTCTGAAAGGGCTCCTTGGATTCTGCTGTGGGCCTGCTTTGCCCTGTCCAGACATGAGGCTGGGGTGCAAGTTGGAGGTTCCCCACCCTCACCTTGTTAGTTGCCCTGGGCCATAGGTTGTTTTAGACCTGCTTGGATGGCCTGCCCTCCACCCCTTCCTCAGTGCTGTGGGGAGGGTGGTTTGTGTAGAGGCACACTTCACATGCTCAGAATGCCTCTTATATTATTTATTCTTGATCCAGGGCCAAGTCCTCGCATACAGGACAATCCTTGGTAGTTCAAACTGAGCCTGGAGGTGGGGGGTGAGTGTTGAATCACAAGAAGGGGCTGGACATCTTTGTCTGTTTTATCCAAAGGGCAGCCCCTGGCATCTAAACCTTCTCCATCTCTGCAGAAGGGCTCTAGCTGTGGGTCAGGCTGGTGGGGCGGGGGTAGGAGGCCTGAGTGCCCCAGTTAGTGGGTCTGTGGAGAGGCTGGATGGGGTTGAGGGCAGGTGCATTCTCAGCCAGGGTTGTTAACTGTTAGAAGCCACCACAGCCGTGCCACGCATCAGATGTTAGTGGCTAATCGCTTGCTGATCTCCATATGGTGAGAAGCTTTGCTTGCTGATCTCTGCTGTTCAACTGTTCAAGGAACGGGAGAGGCTGAGTGTTTTGGTCGTTTCACCCCCCCCACCCTCCTGCTAGTTGACAACTCTGTTCTTCTAATTTCAGCTCAGCATTAAAAAAAAACCAAAACCCTTTCACCCCCTTCTGTTGTAGTTGCCTTCCTCATCCTCTTCCACAACAGCACAGCAGAGGTTTTGAGATGTAGCCTCTTCTCCCTGCTCAGCCATTTCCCCCAAAGAACTCTGCCCAAACACTTCCCATCACCTTTTTCAACACCCGCCGCAACTTCTTCCACCTTGTCCTCATATACTGCTGAACACATTTCAGAGAGATCTAGATCAACTATGGGAGAAGGCAGATGTCTGAATTATCTTTCTTTTCTTTTTTGCATGGAGGGGGTGGAATAGAAGAGCCATAGCTTATGGGTGAAGCACCCAGGTTCAGTCTGCACTGGACTCTCCAGGTAGGACTGGGAATATCCCCTATCTAAAACCCTGGAGAGCTGCTGCCCATCAGTGTAGTCAATATTGAGCTAGATGGACCATTGTTCTGAGACTCTGCATAAGGCAGCTTCTGACTGTCAATTGTTTAACGAAAACACCACACAAAAATCAGGCTGCTGAAGCAAAACTGGGTGGTAGTGATTAGGAATGGGTTGTTGTCTTGAAGCATTGTGAACTCAGTTGT